CGCAACGCCTGACAAACCTCAACGCCAAAGACCCCAGAAACTACTGAGCAAATCTGTTAGGTGGAGACAACTTGATAGACCTCAAGATTGTCTAGGCCAATTGAGATTCATTTTTGTAGACAGAGATTGTCTAGGAAGGCTCGGACTTGGCTCATTTCATTTATGACTTCTAGGAGCAAATTAAAGTAGGTAAAGTAGTGTAGAATCGTAAAAACAATATTATATTGTTATAGTCTCTTCTCCATTGCTTGATGATGTCAAAAGCTTGGGAGGTACTTCGATATTTACATTCCGCATCTGAGTGTTCGCGGACTACATCTATTTATCATACAGCTATGTACTTCTTCAATCGTAATTCGCAACGTTGAGTTTTCTTCCAAGGTGCGAACACCTGTGGACCATGAAAACCATCACACCCTCTTCGGTAATTACGAAATTCTTTCTTAGGAAACGTACTGTCCCCAATAGTAATATCCCGATTAGTAGAGTCTTTAGACTTATAGCCTAGTTCTTAAGTCGAACTGAGTTGGCTCCAATTGTCTTCGCCATTGATAAAATAATCAGTCTTATCCACAGCTATATCTGCAAAGGTAGTCGTCATTACAACCATCGTAGGTCATTTGATTCTGACCCTTTGTAACTCCATACCCAACCCATAGATTTTCTTTGGATGACTTCCTATTCACTCGCAGGAAGCCACTCCACTAAACTGGTAATTAATCCCTCGGTCGGCAACCTTTGGTTGCTCTCTGAGTAGTAGGTTTCAGTAACCATTGTAGTATTTGAGAATCACCCCATGACTACACTGTGTTCCGAAACCCAGTTGCAACACTCAATGAAGTTAATTGGCTTCTTTGGTAGTGTCCTTTGAAGTTCTAGACTCTTCTGGTGTATGCAATTGTATCAGTCTCTAGTAGAGATCCTTTACTATTTGATACCATCTCATTGTGCGAAATCGTCCCGCTACTTATGGCCCATACCAAAGGTGTCATACCTTTGAAGCCTAGTAACTCTCTGAGTAGTTGACGGAATTACTCCGTTCTACTTCCCAGGCCTAGCTGAAGGTCCCCTCTCATATATCCTGCGAACAGGATCCGGTCGAATAGACAGCGGCAACGTATATGGTATTAATCTATCACCTTCAATTCTGTGGTAATATAGTCACAGGACGCAACTGAGATTGATATATATAATGACGCACAGGCCCCATAAGGGAGCCGGAGGGGGGTGTTGGAGACCAGAGATTCCGATTCCAAGTGGGGTTACCCTACTTAGGGTGGTTCCTAGGTATCAGGTTCTGGTATTCCTAACAGAATCCAGATATCTTCTCCAGAATCCAAGGCATCAAGGCCCACTATAGGTACGAAAGAATTGCTCAGGGCGAAGCGATGGCAAGGACAAGGAAAAGTACTTAGAACAAAGCATAAAGAGCCTATCCTCCTCGGCCATACCAGCTTTCTTATATAGTACTCTTCCCGCCCTAAGTTATGTGACCCAAAGTGGTCACATGTGCAAAACCAAATCATAAGAAACTAGTCATATGACCAAAGTGGTCACATGTACAAAACCCATGACCTTGTAGCAAGGTCATGTGCAAAAACTCATAAACCAATCATAACACAATAAAAAGGTCATATGACCCTAAGTGGTCACATGGGCAAAATGTAAATCATATAATCAAGTCAAACCTGCAAGGCATACTTGCAAGGCATACTTACCAGGCGCACGTCCCATGACTCATAATCAAGTTATATGCAAAACATAATAAATTATATCATAACAAGTCATTTGACTTAAATGAGTCATATGCGCGAAACAATAACATACCTATAACTCATAATCATGAGTCATGTGAAAACCTTTTCCATACCAAGTCACATTCGTGATAATAGCAGATACTCTGTATGGATGAAAGATGGAGAGCTACCAATTCAAAAAAAGAATCATGGAAAAGGAATAATTGTTTCACACTTTGTTATACCAGGAGGCCACCTGCAAGTCCTGCAGGAACTTTCAATCAACCATCTACCAACATTTAGCCTTATATGAGAGACTAGACTATGATATAGTGCATATTCTACTACAATGCAAATAGAGTATGAAGAAGAAACCTGGTAGGGTGGAGATAATCTAGTTCAGCAAGTTATTGAGGTTGCAATTCCAATTTTTGAACTAGTATTTCCTGGCAGTCTATTAGGCAGAGAATATCTGATAGACTTCAGAGTTGTATAAACCAACCAAGATTCACTTCTGTAGATAGAGATTGTCTAGAGAGGCTCGGATTTCACTTGTTTCATTTATGACTACTAAGAGTGAAGTAAAGTAGGTAAAGTAGAATAGAATCGTGAAGACAATATTATATTGTTAAGGTCTCTTCTCCATTACTTAATGATGTCTAGAAGATTGAGAAACACTTCAATATTTATATTCTGTATCTGAGTGTTTGCAGACTATGTCTATCTATTAAACAACTATGTACCTCTCTGATAGTAACTTACAAAGTCAGGTATTCTTCTCAGATGCGAACATCTAGAAACCCTTAAAATCACCACACCCTTTTCAGTAATTACGATATAACTAATTAGAAACCACCTTGTTCCCAACAGTAATTATACAATCATTAGAGTCTTTAGACTTATAGTTCAGTTCTCAAGTCAAACTAAGTTGGCCCCAATTGTCTCCGTTATTCATAAAATGATCAGTTTCATCTACGAGTAGTTTCTGTAAAGATAGTCATAATCGCAACCTCTCTTGGCCGCCTAACTTCAAATCTTCATAACACTCTACCCAACTGACAGATATCTTCAGGAGGACTTCCTACTAATTCATAGATAGCTATTCTACTGGATTGACAGATAATTCCTTGGCCGACAACCCTTGGTTGCTCTAAGTGACCGGGTTTCAATCACTATTCTAGTATTATGAGTCATTCTGGCAGCTACAATGTGTTTTGAAACCTAGTTGTAATACTCCGTGAAGTCTATTGGCATCTATGGTAGTGTTCCTCGAAGTTCTATGCTCTTCTGGTTATTGTAGGATGCATGCAAATGTATTAGTTTCTCACTGAGATCCTTTATCATTCACTACCATCTCTTCATGTAAAAATGTCCTGTTACATATAGCCTCTACCAAAGATATCTTATCTTTGAAGCCTAGTAGCTTCCTAGATAGTTGGCGGATTTACTCTGTTCTAGTTCTCAGACCTAGCCAAAGGTCCCCTCTCATATATCCAGTAAACAGGAACCGGTTGGATAGATGGCAGTGACATATATGGCTCTATTCTTACACCTTCAATTCTGTGGCATTATAGTCATAGGGCACAACTGAGGTTCATGTATATGATGACATGTAGGCCTCTTAAGGGAGCCAGAGGGAGGTTTTGGAAACCATGGATTCCAATTCTGAGAGGAGTTACTCTACTTAGGGTAGTTCTTAGGTATCGGATCCTAGTATTCCTAACACAGTTAAGTACTTTTCCTATTTGACAATGCTACCAGTCATTCAGCATTTGCTAATAATGCTTTGTCTGTTAGAAATATGAATTTAAGCCCCAGAAGAGCTCAGAATAAGCTTTGATCTACAATCAATCCATGTACTAGAGAAATTCAGAGTATAATCAATGATAACAGAATGACCAAATGACTTAAAACTATCTTAGAGGAAAGAGGACTATGGCGGAGAGGTCTCTGTATACAATGCAGAAAGCACAGAACTGAAAAACTGTTAAAAACCTGTTTATCAGGTGGCTTATGTTGTACTTAAGCAATAATGGCAGATCAACCAGACTTTCGTAATCAGAAATGTTGGTTGCAGGAAGAGGTAGAGCATCTGGGACACAGAATTCTCTTTTTTTCTAAAGTTCTACTATGAACTAAACTTTATTGAGTATATATGGGCAGCTGCTAAGCAGTACAAACAAAATAACTACAGCTATACTATTAAGAGCTTACGACAGCAGATTCCAAAGGCCTTAAACTCTGTTACAGATGAGTTAATTTGGAAGTTTTCACAAAAGACAAAGAGAATTATGGAAACATATTGTAAGGGAATTACCTATGGTTCACCAGAATTTCAGTTTTCTCTTAAACATCAATATAAAAGCCATAGTCATGTATCTGATATTCTAGTAGTAAAATGATAGTTTAATAATCTATATTATGTAGATAAATTATTTAACCTACTAACTCTACAATAATTGCTATTAAGTTATTGGTATACATCAGATTAAATATTTTTAAATGGTGACAATTAGAAACTAAACCCTTAAAGATAAGCCCTTATTACTCTCATTTTCACTTGCAAACCCTATGCTTGGCACACAAATCTACACAGCCACATGTAACCCTTATTTTTCAGCCTGGTGCACCTTTTGAACTGCACGAACTATACTATTTTGAGCTCTTTATCAACCTTCAACATGGGTAAGTTAACTTGAAGTTCGGGTCATTAAAATTCGGTCACAATATATATTTGTTTGCGCTGTATGTTTCTAGCCCCACGTGGTTCACACATGGGTGGGCGACTTGTTTGCGCACACCTTACCACATGATCCATTTGGTGGGTGTTTGTCTTTTCGGGGAGTTGGGGAGGAAAGCTCCTTTTCCCCCTCTCCCAATCCGCCATACTTGTTGAAGAGGGTGGAGCCTACGAGTAGAGTAAAGTTATGATACCGCAATTTTGGGTATGATAATATTATCATAACTTAAAAACGCTTCTTTAGGATTAGGGCTGCCGCTCTTGCGATAGCATAGGATAGGTTATGGCTCTGGAATGAGATGTATGTAAAAGGGACTGGTTACTCTTCCAGATGCGATAATACGGTAGACTTTTGCCATCTCCATGTTTCTTCTCGGAGAGGAGTTATCCATCGCTTGCTTGTGACTACTTCCTGGGCTTTTACCCGACGGCTACGATATGTATCGATTGATCCTCAATCTATCCACTGCTTGTTCTCTTCCTTGCTATCCTCGCCCCTTCCTTTACGATACAGTATACTTCACGGGGCACGATCCCCACCCTAAAGCTCACGAACCCGCACAATTTCGCCATTGTCCCTCATTTCCTTCCGACCAACATCAGTATGTGACTCTCCAGGCCATGATAACAATAAGTTTCTATAAAATACCGCCCCCCCCCCCCATAACCAGCCCTTCTCGCCCTAACCACCGACACAAGCATGCACGCAACGGCCCGACCTCCCACCAAGGAGATATTCAACAAATATTTTACAATACCTCTGGATCCCTAAAAGTATGTGCGATGGTTCTCTTCCCTTCAGGGCCGGGAGGGAAACAAAAGCAGCAGTGATCAGGTAGGTAAGGAGAGGTATTTATACGGTATCGGTGACTTTTTTTTATTTGTTCATGATCAGTATTGACACTTAAGGGTGGATTCGGGGGGGGATTAATTACCCACACCATAGTTACTGCTTTTTACCATGTCTGGCCGTCCAATAACATATCCCCCTGTCCCTGTCCTTCTATTATTCCCCCCTTCATCGCTCTTCCTCCGCGTCACCAGAAACACGACGAACGTGGCGATTACAACCAAGAATATCACCCCGCCAAGAACACCCCCGACAATCGCCCCAACATTCTTTATTACCTTGTCGTTGCCGGCGCTAGTGAGATTGAACCTGTTTGGCGAAGACCTCTGTGTCGGGATTAACGTTGGCACAGACGGCATCTCACCGGGTGATAAGTTCTCCAGAGCTAGGGATGCCGATGCCTTGAATGCTTCGAGTGATTTCTGGGGAGTTCTATCATACATAATCAGACCCCGCGATAAGATCGCATAGATGAAGATACGGTGAACTAACGGATTTATAACGCCCACGAAGCCCCGTTGACAGTGGCGGCCCTGTGAACAATAGAAAAAAATCGGGTCGGGAAGAGTGATGTTAACGGTGAATGTAGTAATCTAATCCCGACCCTCATATTAGAATCATATTAGAACAGATGATAACTCAACGCAAACAGACGCATTCATGAACGGGCATCTCAACTATTTTTGTGTCCAACGGGAGCGGCCTGAATCCCGAAAAGAACCCTTGGCCCGTTGTAGTGTTGCTCATAGGAACGCAGGGTCTTTCAAAATTTGCCTGTACAGCCGAATGATTCTATGTCGCCAATCTGTAAGCCTTATCGCCTTCATGTGACAATTACAATAACTTTTCGACTCCTCATCCAGAGAGACAACAAAAACCTACCAGTGGGTAAAACTGGAATTGAACCTGATCCCCAACATTCGCATACACCACCTCAGGGCTAAATCTTAGAGCCAACTCCTCCCCTCCCCTTCCCACCGAGACCACAAGCACCCGCTGCGCATCCGAGAGTAGCGACAAGAAAAGGACGACGTCGAGTATGAGTGTTATCGCATGAACGATCATAGCCAGCATCCTATGATAATCCCACCCGCCAAGCCCACAGTGCCATACGCACGCGGGGCATCCAGAGGTATTTGTATCGAATTCCTTGCGACCGAAAGAGCAAACCTCCCACAAGTCTCCCATAAAGGGGGGCTGGGGGGAAGGGAGTTAAAAAGCAGTTTGATATTTGTGCTCGTCATATCCCGTTGCTTGTTCGTGGAAACGGGAAAGAAAATATAAAAATACAGAAAATATAACACGCCCGAGGTGGTGCAACGGGAAGAGTCCCCCCCACAAGATGGTTGACGTTTCATGGAGGTTTCGAGGCGTTTTGGACTCGTGGATACGTGCCCAACGTAGAATACATGTTACTTGTAGAAAATATACCTATCGAGTCTTATGTCGCCGGATTTGGTGGAAATACTTGAGTAATTGTATTCAAAGGATGATCTGATTCCTTCCAGGAGTAGTGCTCGAGTAAATCCTCGATTCACCCCTGTTTCAACGTTATTCCGTGGAGGATGGAGCTGCTGCCGGAAACCAATGATTTTTCCTTCTCCTCCCCCCTCCTTCCGAGCCTTGGAAAAACCTGAGATATACCGGTAGCCAAGTAGATTCCGCCGGTGCTCGTGTGATAGCAGGCAAGTATGCGCGAACAAAGGGTATTTGCGAAATGTATGGCAAATAATAAACCCGTGCGTGCCCGAGCGCCCATACAAACCCACCACCCGAAAGCAGAGTAGGCATACTGTACCGGTATTTATTGGGGCTCAGATACCCACATACTCGAGTATTTTTAACCATATTCCTTCTATCCCTGTTGCACTTCTTGCCTGAGACAAGTACGGGTAGCGGTGCTCCCCATACCGATACTCGAGTACCGGCAATTCCAGACACCGGGGACCGACCCTCTTGTTCACTCTTCCGTCCGCTGGGCGGTGCTGTGCTGTCGGACCCCTTTGTGGTTGGGTGTTCTTCAGTACCCGGAAAAGGAGTTTTCACCGATCACCACCTGTCTCCTGTAGGAGCCAAAAGACCCTCACTTGAGCAGTGTTTCGGACTGTATGGGATTGGAATAGTCACAACAAACAGGATAAAAGAAGCCAAAGAAAATGAAACGGAAAAACCAAAGCTCGGGGGCTTGCTCTCAGTCTCGATACCTACTCGAGTACGGAGTCTTCCTCACTCTCCCTTTGGTAGTGGGTTCTAGAGCCCTCTAAATATAAAAATTCCAAAGGAACGCCAGGACCTCGTCACGAACAAAAAACAAAACCTGACCACGAATGTCTACGCCCCTCATTCACACGGCTAACAGTACGAGTAGGTATGCGGGAGAGTAGTCCCTTGGCATGGATTTTCATGTGAGTCTGCTCTTTTCGAAGTGCCCACTTACTTGTACTTGACCGTACATAAAGTATTCGGATGCCTTGGCGCCAAGGCATACCAACCGGGGCCTAAACATGGAAAATGGCGCCAAGGCATCCGAATACTTTATGAATGGTCAAGTACCGGTACCGTACTCATCTATGGAGGTTAGTGATGAGACAGAGGGTGCGGGTGGCCGAAGAAATCTGTGCACGGCGGGGGAATCTTTTGATACGTCCTTCGGCCACCCCACCACTATCCGTCTCATCGCTAACCTCCGTGCCCTAGTACCGTTCACAACTTATGCTCACCTTGTCGGAAATTGGATTGGAGAGGAGCCAAGTTTAAGCAGTTCCAAGTCCCAACCGAGTTCTTTCCCCGAAAAACTTGGCAGTTGTTGGGGCCCATTCGCTGTTGGATTTGGTCGCGGTGAGAGCCCTGGTAAGAATCAAGTGTCAGTCTCGTCACCCCCCTTCCTAAGCTGCGGCCTTCTACTTGTAGCGAGACAGCTTGCATTCACCAGCCTTTATGATACGACTCTCAACCAGCTCGGGCAGTTGGGAAACAGGGAAAAAAGTATAAAGAAAGGTTAGCCCCAATTCTCTGAATCGCTTTCCTCCGTCTCCCCGTTGTCACTACTCATCCCTTGTCCCTTCCTTCCATTCCTTCCTAAGGGGAAACCATAAGTTAGTCCCTTTATACCTCTCGAATCATAAGGATTCGCAACGCTTTTCCTAGCATCCCAACCATCCGCAAAATAGCCCATAATTATGTCTCAACCACTGCGAAGACGATTACCTCTCCAACGGTACTGCCCTAGTACTCGTATCTACGAGCCAAGAATTGACATCCGTTCACCCTTTCCAAGAACCAGGAGTCTGTAGCAGCATTCCAAAAAGGGTGTCAATTCTTGGCGCGGAGACACCACCACTAGGATGTCCTATCTGCTATCTCTCGGACCAAAAGTCTGCCAAGCCCGGCCACCAGCTTCCCTCCCCGCCCCGCCCTCCATCACCGCGCTGCGCCATACCGCACAGCACTTACAGAATTTTAGTGATACTAACACCAGTACTTAGTAACACAATTGACTGCTTACAGAAAATTCCAAACCCGGCCTGGAGTTGTCTTGTAGGAGAAAGACGCATCCGGCAGGCGGGAGGAGACACGCGTCGTCATGGCTACAGAGACTACATTTCTGGAATGTCAAGAATCCGGGACCCCTACCTACAATCAAAGTATTCTCCCCATCGGATCTCGGACTAGGGCTGGCAGTTGGGGCATGACAGCAACGAAGGCAGAAGGTAAATGAGCGGTGATAGTGTATGAAGAGGAGAAATGTTTCAAATAACAAGGGGAATTAGACTCTTGTTCGGGCAAGATTATATTAGTGTAGAAGCAGTATAATTGGCAGTGCGTTCTATCTGAAGTCCTGGGAGATAGTTTTACTAGTTTTATAGAAATAAGGCCCCCTTCCCTTAACCACCTCCGTGCTTTCTCCCCCGCCTTTTTTCCAAACTTCCTATATCATTCTGCGGACCTCGCTAGATCCACTGCTCTTCAACTAGTTTCCTTAACCAATTTCAATTGCGTGATAAGTGCACAATCCTTGCTCTACCATTTTCTTTCATTGAAACATTACCGGATCACCATATATCACTTTCCACCAACCTTATATCCTTGCTTATGCGGGGTACTCGAGTACACCCTTACGCTCTAATCACAGTGCGCTGCCTACTAGCATGGCGGAGGCTTGATACCTTCCGAGCCCCGATAGTGTTCAGCAATTAGCTGACCTATACTATAGATCTCCTACCCATCCTAGGAGTTTGTTCAGGCTGCCCACCAGTCAGTCCCTTGCCATCAAACTCGAAAGGACCATATTCAGAGATCAACTGCACGGCTTCTATGTTGATGGGAGCCAAACCATATACAAATTCTTGGTGTTTTTCTGATGTAAATGGGACATCCGTCATTATTGGGCACCACAGCAAAGAGCGAGCTAATAAAAGAGGACACTATTGGGGGAGGAAAGGACTGTTGACGGTAAAAATTATTGAAGTAGATTGAGGGGGGGTGGAATTCGCTGAGGAGAAGCCGCAAAAAAATCCCTAAATTCGTCAAAAACAAAGTTAAAAAAGTTGCTTGCAACTGGGATGGATGAATCTTCAGCTTGATCATTGGGATATTCCGGCAACAAAGCAGTCTGCTTGACCAACAGGATATCCCCTTAACCAAGAGAAGTTCTTGGTGACTGGGGGGGAACACTCCTTACTCGTATTTAGATGGCATTTATACCGATTACATAGCTCTTCGGTTTCACCCCCGCTTATAAAAGCCATGCGTATGTTTCACTATCTCGTTTCAGAGTTGCTTAAGAGGCCTGTTCAGACAATATTGCCCGGGAGCGAAATTCCAGATCGACCATTCCATATGGGCTTTATTTTGGAGTACGGTATGGTACCGCTCCCATTCCATATAGGATTTCTTTAAATCCACTGGTATACAATTAACTCTTATATCCTGTACTGTATATCATCCCCCCTGTCCCCGCTCTTCTCCTTGGCTGTTCGACTCCAAATGTTGTAAGTCGGGCAATGAAACACATGACTTGTTTCCATGCCGTATTGCAAATATTTCTAGACCTTGAACCATTTCTTTCCCTAAGTTTGCGAAGTGCGTACACCGGAACTACACTTCGGTTCTCCTAGGCAGCTCTAATAACATTAGGCCTAATAGCTCGGTCTACTGACTACTATGCCTTGGAAAAGCGGGCGTAGGCATCATCCTCTATCTTCCTTCAACTGAAAGCAAACACCAACGTCAACACCACCCCCCTCTTTTTGGCTTTCTCCATCATACAAGAAACACCCCCCAATTCACCTCATTGAAATATCTCTTCCATCAACAGTTTATCTAAAAATGCAACTCAATACCCCACCGAAATTCCTTGGGCTTCCTCTCGGCTCACACATGCGTCCCAAGTTTTCCGTGAACCCCAGAAATGCCATTGCATTCAAGGCGAGAAAACTTCAAA